AAAGCGATTTCGAGGACGAAATTATTTTAAGGGGCTGAGATTGTAACGCCCCGAAAATCTTAGAATAAAAATATATTTGTCTTATATGTTATAGTTTGGAAATTTGAGGACTAAAATGAAATAACTTCTAGTTTCATGTTTTACTTGGGCCAAATAATTAAGTACCGTTAGAAAGAGATTTTATATATCGATATTGAGCTCATTTAATAGCTCTTATTTAATCTTGTATTTTAGATCCAAGAAAAAGTTGATTCGGATAAGCTAAACTTAAGAAATTGACGTTTAAAGAAATTGGTATTCATTAGTATTCTATTTGTTTTTAACATTTAGCCATGTCCAGGTTGTTGGAGTGGTTTTTATTTTTATTTTTTATTTTGAATTGTGTTTTCTTATAAACATGTGTAGAAATGATAAAAAGAAAAGGGTAGGTCTTCTTGATTTTGGGGATGTTTTAAAATGGACCAATTTGAAAATTTACACTTCAAGAAATTCCACGTTAAATTTATTGTTGAGTTTTATTGATTTGCGTAATTGTAAAATTGAAAGGTTTTGTCAAAAGGACCTAAACTGTCTAAGAAGAGTTTGGGATTTAAGCGGTCCATCTGTGACCCCCCTCCTCTTCTGGAGGCCTTTTAGTTGCGCATTATTCAAATCGACGAGACAATAAACAATATTTCAAACATAATAAAATTGAAAGTCACTGTTCATGAATTATTCCAACGTTAGCCCATTATTGCTTTTAAGTAAATATTAATTTAATACTACAAGGTTGTTACATGTAACTCTAATTGTACTTATATGTTATTTCTATGCCTATGGAGGTGAACTTGGAATTTAATCACATTTTGATAAAAATTTTAAGAAACAAGAATTATGACAAGGTTCTTGGCACCTAGCATTCACCACTCAACTACCATCCGACGACTCCGATGTATGTAAATGGGTAAGAAGATTAATGTACTTAGACCTTTGCATAAGCTAAATATTTTTTTGCCTACCTTTAATTTTATAAGACATGCACGTTTAGTTCCTCGTCAACTTTAAGATATGTATTACGATAAGATATCTTAGACTTAGTATTAGTGTGTGATGAGTGACTTAAAGTTAGATTTTAGGAAATGGCACCACCTACCCACACAAATAAGATGACTAAGCCTATGAAATTGGAGATTGACGGAAAAATATTAGAGGCAGACTTATACATTTTGGAGATGAAAGATTTTGACATAGTTTAGGCATGGATTGGTTGGGACTTAATCATGCGACCATTCGATGTTATGAGAAAGAGGTGTTATTTCATAGACCGGAAGAGGAAGAGTTCCAGTTCTTGGGAGCAAAGTTCAAGTCGCAACCTCGTCTTATATCGGCTATACAAGTGAAAAAGATATTGAGAAAGGAGTCATGCCAGGGGTTCTTAGTTAACATCATCGATTCTAAACATATGGAAATGACGGTTAATGATATTGACATCGTGCGAGACTTTTCAGACGTATTTCCAGAAGATTTGCCAGGCATTCCACTAGATAGGCAAGTGGAATTTACAATTGATTTGGTTCCAGAGCAGCACCAGTATCTAAGGCTCCGTACTGAATGGCACCAAAAGAACTCCAAGAATTGAAGTTACAATTGGAGGAGTTAATGGAAAAAGGTTTCATTCGACCGAGTGTATCTCCTTGGGGGGCCCCAGTACTTTTTGTGAATAAGAAGGATGGGAGTATGAGGATGTGCATTGACTATCGAGAACTGAATCATTTAACTATAAAAAAATAGATACCCCCTACCAAGAATAGAAGATTTATTCGATCAGTTAAGGGGTGCAACGTTGTTTTCAAAGATTGACTTGAGGTCGGGGTATCATCAGCTGAATATCAAGGTAACCGATATACCAAAAACTGCTTTCAGGACTCATTATGGACATTACGAATTCACTGTCATGCCTTTCGGTTTGACCAATGCTCCTGCGGTATTTATGGACCTAATGAACCTAGTGTTTCATCAGTATTTGGACCAGTTCATCATAGTATTTATTGACGATATACTTGTGTACTCCAAAGATAGGAAGCAACATGAGGAACACCTCCGAGTAGTACTTGATACCTTGAGGAAGGAGAAATTATATGCCAAATTCAAGAAGTGCGAATTTTGGCTCGATCGCATAGGTTTTCTTGGTCTTGTGGTTACCACCAAAGGAATTGAAGTAGACCCAGTTAAAGTGGAAGCAATAACTAGTTGGTCTAGCTCATCTAGTGTAAGTGAAGTTCACAGCTTCTTAGGATTGGCCGGCTATTATCGGAGATTTATTGAAAGTTTCTCAAAAATAGCAGGTCCAATGACTCAGTTGACTCGAAAGGGTGCGAAGTTTCAGTGGATGGAAAAATGTGAGAAGTGTTTTCAAGAACTTAAACAAGAGATTAGTCTCAACTCCTATTTTGACTATACCCGAAGGTTCAAATGAGTTTGTAATTTATAGTGACGCCTCCAAACAGGGCCTGGGTTGTGTTTTGATGCAACATGGAAAGGTGATT